CAAATGCATGACATGTTTATCCAAAAAGCTCCACATCTCCAGTACCCACAGCTGACACTGCAGAATGAGGTAGGTCCTCCCTCCACCTTCTTCCAATCTCATTTGTACAATAAGCTTTCAAATGAAATGTAAAGGAAGTGAACACCAGCAGTGCCCAAGGAGCTCATGGATGTTAGCTGCTCTGAGTGATCTACTTTTAGATAACATTCAGTATTTTTTCTTGTAATACAAGCAGTATATATACCAGAAAAACCCACATTCCAAACATCATTACTTTGGAAAATAAAACAAAACAAAAGCTTCATAAGTAAAAGAAATTAAATAAAATTTGATCTGTCTTAAGCTAGATAACAAGAAAACTTTAAGGATACTAAGACAGTACAAAAAAAGAGCAATCAAGATACACCACATACTTGCAGATAGCACTTAAAAATTTCAAAGCATGTGTCACTACCTCTAGCTTTTAACCAGGAACATAAATGATATAAACACACATCCATCAAATGTCAAAAAAACCCAGTAGAAAATACAAATATGTTTCCTGAGTTCTATGATTAAATCACTGGCACCAGTCAGCTACTAAATTTGCATCCAAACTATAGTGAAGATTTCTCTATAAATGAAACATTTCTGGATCTGATTCCTCCCAACTGTATGCTGAGAATGGACATTTACCACATTCTTTTGCTATGAAAAGACATGGCAACTTGCAAAAGTGTCTCTGCTTCATCATAAGTGATGAAGAGGTGATAAAAAATAAAACTGGCTCTAAAAGTGGTTCTACTGAAATTGAATGTCTTCCTCTGCTGCATCACGTGCCAGGAGGTACTCTGAGGAAATCTATGGAAATGAATGTTGTGACAGCTAGTGTAACTTGATTCATTGTTCATGAAGAAATCAGAGTACAAAGGCACAGAGAATGCATCCATTTATTAAGGAGATGCACACAAGGGTTTGCCTATCCATTCACAAGTTCTGTATTTTCTTTGACTTCAAAGATCTTAGCATTAATGACAGAGAAGAAAATACCCCAGTTCCTAGAACAAATGAAGCACTCCTGCATTTTCTTTCCTCAGCCTTCAAAACAAGACTCTGTTCACTTGTTCCACCTCCAGTTACCAGAAACTTCACATTCGAAGATTTCAATTCTTGCAGTCCATAATAAATCCATTCAGCAAAATGTGCTCAAATTCTTCAAGTTCTGTCTCATCTCACAAGGAACACTCCACTGTGAAGGAGCATTCTTAGAACTCTTAGAACATTCTTAGAGCAGGCAATGCCCTCAGCCAGGTACAAGATTCAGACCTGTCTTTTTTTTGAGAAAGCAGCTTTCAATGTCTCAACAGAGCCATGAGCAGAGAAGCAACCTCACCTGCAGCTGTGTCAGCTGCAGGATGATTGCTGATTTCTTTCAAAGCAGAGTAAAGTGCATGAAAACTTCAGGGAAAATATTCCAAATGACACTTTCTCACCCTTGATGCCTCTGCTCAGAATTGCATTCAGAAGGAGCATCTAAATACAGTCTCAATAACAATACAAGGTGTCAAAACACCCCAAACACAAAAACCTCACAACAAGCTGAACAGTGACCACCAGTTCTGTTTCTGAGCTGGCATTACAAAGGCAGATACCAGGATTCTGCTAAAAGACTTTTTCTGAATCTAGTTAAATGAAGCAATAAGATATTTTCTCATGTTTAAATAACACCATCCCTTTAAAAGTTTTTCTGTTTCAGTATGAGAACTCCACCTGGTGCATTGCCATGGATGTGACTTAGTGAGAAATTCTGCCATCAGTGAGAAGTGTTCTTAGGAAGCTAAACCAGCCAGAACTTCTGTTAGCATTCACTAAGTTTCAATTGACCTGGTATAATTGATTAGTTCATTTATTTGCTCTGTTCTTTCTCTAGCATATTGACAAAGGTTTCAGACTTAGGCATACAAGTAATTTTATTCTCAATGGAGCAGTCCATTAAAGCCTATTATATCATTAGCACAATGATACATCCATCTTCCAAGCACTTACATCTATGGATAAATTTCACACTTCTGGTGTAATCCAGCCACATGCCTAATATATTGAGTGCACTGGGAAAGTTTTCTTTCTGCACTCAACTACCAAAGTCCTGTTATCATTACTGTATCACTACACCTGATCTTACATTAGCACTCATATTGACTTCAATAGCATAAATTAGTTTAAGTACATCAATAGCAGAGTTAAACAGTTCTGCTGTACTGATAAAAAGCTGGCTGTCTGATGTCCATTTTCAAGGTGGAGTTGAGCAGATTCAGCAGCTCCACAATGATGAAGGAATCCAAATATTCCTTGCTATCTTCTCTAGCAATCGTGTCACTGTCAGAGATGCAATGCTCACCTGACTGCATCACAAGCCAGTTCAACTCACTAACCGGGCAGTAAATTAATATTTTTTCTTTCATGGTGACTTTTCTTTCAGCAGGTTCTGCCAGGACAGTCAAAGTGGGAGGAAAGAAGCAGCAGCAGTACATCACACCATTCACATAATGTTGTGCAGCTTCACTCACCTCCCAGAGATGGTAGTACAGAATAGATCCAGTGCTGTGTGCACTGACACTCCTGATTTCAAACCTAACTGCAAATGCATTAATAGCACTGCAGCCTCACCTGAGGACTCTGAAGTCAAGGGGACTAAACCCATTAATGACTCTATCCACAAGTCTGCTTGATACAAGGAAGTCTCTTTAGCAGAAAGCAGCTGTATGTCTGGTACAGGGGTGAAAAGAGACAAAGTTCATTACACACAAGTCAACAAAAGCTGTCTCTTTAGCAGAAAGCAGCTGTATGTCTGGTACAGGGGTGAAAAGAGACACAAAGTTCATTACATGCAAGTCAACAAAAGCGTCAGCACAGATGCGGCAACTCCAAGATTAGATTCTTACCCATTTAAGGGATGCTTTTGCCGTGGTGACAGAAATTGCCAATAAAGTTATTTGAAGACATAAAAGACATGATCCATGTTGGGACTGGTTTATCAGTACAGTGCTCAAACCTGAGCTATGCACCAAAGCTTACTAAAACAAACCCACGCAAACAAGATGTTCAGAATTTTAAAATCACTTTCTCTCAGTCACCACCACACCCAGCCTAGGCAGCCTACAAGATGATCCATGCCAATCAGCAACACAGAATCCTACAATGGTTTGAGTTGGAAGGGACTTTAAAGATCGTTGAGTTCCAACTCCTGGCCGTGGACACCTTCCACTATCCCAGGTTGGATGGTGGAAGGACTGGAGCCCCATCCAATCTAGTCTTGAACACTTCCAGAGAAGGGGCAGCCACAGCTCTGCGAGCTCTGTGCCAGAGCCTCACCACCCTCACAGAGAAGAATTTGTTCCCAGTGCCTCAGTTAAACCCAGTCTCTCAGTTTGAAGCCATTCCCTCTTGTCCTACCTCTATAGTTCCCAACAAAGAGTCCCCCTCTGGTTTCCCTGTAGGTCCCTTCAGATACCGAACGTGCTGTGAGGTCTCCACGCAATCTTCTCTGAACAGCCCCGACGTTCTCAGCCTGTCTTCACAGGAGAGGTGCTCCAGTCTCCAGTTCTCTTACCGACTTTGTGGCCTCCTCTGGACTTGCTCCAACAGCTCCATGTCCTTTCTACGCTGGGGACACCTGAGCTGTACACAGCACCCCAGGTGAGGTCTCACAAGAAAGGACCAGAGGGGCACAACCACCTCTCTCAAGATGCTGCCCACACTCCTTTGGATGCAGGTAATTTCCACGGCGCCCTGCCCCCTTGCAGATACGTGCCATCACTCCATAAATCGAATTGCTCTGCTTAGTGGGAGCAGGACACCTTCTGTTTAAAGCAGCGTCACTCAGAGAAACCGAAGCCTTCCACAGCTTACAGTGCTCACGAGGCCACACCCTCAGGTGAATCTAATTATCAAGCATTACCTAATGAAACTGTTGCAGCAACCAGAACTATAGCAAAGAGACAGCAAAACTCAGCCCGACAGAACACTGAGAACCAACATGCAAAGCAGTGAATCACCTACAGCTCCACACGTTTGTCCCACAAACACTTTTGGTCACAGTACTTTGAGTTTTCAAATCAGTAGAACAGTTGAAGCAGTTTAAGATGGCAAACCCTCTCTCCCCCCAGAACCAACCAGTCAAGTGCTAAATTTTCAATTTCAAGACAGTGGATTGTTCATCTACACAATGAAGCTATTTGACACACAAACCTCTACCTGCAAACTTACACAATGTGCCAGGAGATGCTCAGCTGCTGAGCTACAGCTTATATCCAGAGACAGAAACAATCAGAGAATCAGAAATTTGTCAAGGTTGGAAGACACCTTTAAGATCATCAAACATCCTAAACATGTCTGAGGATGGGAACTCCCCCACCTCCCTGGGCAACCTATTCCAGTGCCTGACCACCCTAACTATTCCACAAAACCTACACCGACAGCAGGCAATACACCACACAAAACTGCATCCACAGGACAAAAAACCCAAAAACCAACAACCCAACCTAGCGTGGAAACCTTTATGCCTCCAGCAGGCACAGGGAATGGCACGGATGCGGTCAGAGAGCGCTCGGGGCAGATGCTGCCGGGATGTCAGGAGGACTTTGAGCGGGCAGCCCGAGCGATGCCGCAATGCCGGGGCAGGACGCCCTGGCACAGCACAGGCACACATTTAAACTTTAAAAGCTCCGTCCCGGTGCTCCGGGCGGCTCCGAGGGCAGCGGGGCCACCCCGGGCTGTGTTTCTGTTTCGCCGCACAAACACCCGCGATCGGTGGTTCCCCCCACAACGCGAAAGGACAACAGCGAAACGGAGCACCCCAACCCTCTCCGCTCGTCCGCCACCCCCCGGTACGACAAGCAGCGGAAAACAAATTAAAACTAAGATGAGAAAGAGACTTAACGGTGAAGCGGATGCCGCGGAAACGCCGGAGCCGGGAGCGCGGCCTGGGGCGGCGGCGCGGGCCGCTCCCGCCGCCTCCTCACCTGGTGGACGCCCGCTGCGCCGGCGGCGGGTCGCGGCACATCCCGCGGAGGGCGGGCGGAGGGAGGGCGGCCCGAGCCCGGTGCGCGGCCCGTCAGCGGCCGCTCAGCGCCGCCATTACCGGCCCGCAACTGACACGGAGCGGCGGCGGCGGCGGCGCATCGGGAACTCTCGCGAGAACCGGCCCGCCGCCGACCTTCCCAGCATGGCGCCGGCCCGCCGGGCCCCCTCGGCGCCCGCCGCCATCTTGGGTGCGGCGGGGCCGCCCTGCCCTCCCTCAGGCGCGGGAGAGCCTCGCTCTCCAGGATTTCCCTCGGAGCTTTTCTTTCTCCCCTCACGGTTCTACAGGCTTGACCTGCCAGGTCACTCCCCTTGGTTTTATGTGCAGAGCCCTGGGTGTTGGTGCAAGGCCAGGACTTGGCAATGCTAATTAAACCCAGCGCTGATGTTGGCATTCCTGAAGCGGCTCCAGCCGAAACTAGGGCACCGCTTTTTAGTCATTTGTGTTCATAGCTAAGTCATCTTTAGAAAACAATGTTTAGCTGACATGCTCTGCCCAGAGCTTTTCTTTCTTATGTTCTTTCTTTTTTTTTTTTTTTTTTTTTTTTTTTTTTTGCAAATGAAAGAGTCTCCAATTACACTCTCCCAAATTTAAATTTAAATAAACATTCGCAGAACTTCAGAGACATGACTGAGTTCCATGGGCTTCATTTCACTTTTATCACTCATTATAAACACGAATTAAGAATTTGTTAGTATACTGACTTCTAATGCGTAGATTCCACCCTGAAGATACATTAAAACCACCCACGCTTCAAAAATAGGTCTAAGATATTATCCAGCTATAGCAAAATTATTTCCACTGAAGAAGGAAAGTTATTAGAATAGGAAAAAAGAATTTCTTCCTACAGTTATTTTGGGAATGTTCCCTTCAGGGCCTGTCTGCAACTTCCCCAGCCGGGTTTTCAGTCATTAGTGTGATTGTTTGGTGCCAAATTTCTTGGGGGAGCACGGGGGTGGAGAGTTATCTACCCAAACACTAAAGGATCACAGTAACTATCAGAACTACTTTTTTGGGGGTTTTTTTTGGTTTTTTATACTTCACTAGAAAGGATTAACCTATTTGTACATAGCCTCTCCTCTAGTAAATGCTCATCATTTTGCATATAAGTTATTCCAGTATGGGAACATCACAGGAAAACACCCTAAATACTGAGAGATTACAGCTATGGAGTTTAGGCAATGCCGAATTTAATCACATCACAATTACAGGATACTCATGTAGCCTTAATTTGGGTCTTTTACATATACAAACTAATTACAGAGTACGTTTTCCTGCGCAAGCATATCTTCTTTGAAAGAAGAGGTAAGCTCAAGATATCAATGATTAAACCTTTGGAAATTATTTGTATTTCCAGCACTCTGCAAATTGGACAGGAAATGGTCAAAGTGCTCATTGGGCACTTTTAAAATTTATTTTTATTTTATAATTATCTTTATTTTGCTAGATGAAGGGAAAAAATGACTGAACATGGAAAGACAAGCACAGGTCCAGTGGGAAAGAGTGGCAAGCAGTGCCAAATTCCCTCCTGAGTCCTCAAAGAGCAAACTTGCTGCCCCCAAATGCAGGAAAATGAAACTAATAATAATAATGCCCATTTCAGTCAATGAAAACAATATTACTGCAATGTATGGGAGCCCTGATTGCAGACTAGGGCAAATGAAATTATTACATTCCCCATCATCTCATAGTGTTTGCCTAAATTTACTGTTTAATATTGCTGGACTGGCAGCCTATTTAAATTATTCAGCACTTTGGTAATATTCTGCCTCTTTAATTATGCTTTTAAACATAGTTTCTCTTTTCTGCTTGGAAGCAGTTAGTCTAGTTTCACGCTCCTCCTTCTCATCTCCAGGCAAACTAGGCATCGCATCAGGATTTTCTCAAACATGGAAATCATTTGGTTTAAAGGCAATGGAATTAACTCAATTAAAAGGCAGTGTTTGTATTCTGGTTTTGCTCCTGTTTTGCTCTCTGTAGCTGCCAGTGGAACCTAACTGGTCTGAAAGTGAAACTTTTTCAAAGATTCCCTTGCAGTGAAGTGGAAAGCTCTGATGGGCAAACACCCGACACGAGGAGAGAAAGAAGACATTCTCGTGGAAAACGCAGTCACCTGGTGAAATTCAGAAATAAAACAAAAAAAGCGTTTACCTGCACACAGCCCCAGGTGGGAGGAGTGGAACACTGCAGCTGGAGGAGGGCAGGGAACAGCAGCGAGCGCTGCCCCGGCGCTGGATGGGGACGCTCAGTGAGTGAAAAGCAAAGAGATACCTTCTCATCTTTCACTCGCCCGCTTATTGCAGCTTTAAGAAAGAGGTTTGGAAAGTTTTCCACTCCACACTGTTCTTGCACACCCCTTCTAAAATTAGAAAGGGGCAGCTGGCTCCTGCAGCCAAGAGCCCCCAGACTCCCTCCCCCCTTTCCCTGACTGACGTGGCTCCCAAGAGCCATGGAGGAATTTGGGGAAGGGTGCTTCCACCTGTTGGACGTGGAATGAGATTTTCCAGGCATACAATTATAAATCCAACTGTCAGGAGCTGACAATAAAACAGGACACAGGACAGCTGTGAGGACCACAGGACACCCCCCCCTCCCTGCTCTGCACTCCTACGCCTTTGCAGTCCATCTGACAGCAGAAACAATGCATGGAAAATTGTTCTCTTATGAAATAAAGGCATCATTTCAGATTTCTTCCCACAGTTTTCCAACTGTACCACAGGGTCCTAACACAGAATCTGGCAAGTTGTTCGTGTTTCGTTACACCCCTCCAAAACCAGATTCTTTTCCCTAAATACAGCATGCTGGCAATTGCACTGCAGATGGTGCATATAGCTGTGTCCTGTACAACAAATAATTTTATGCCTGCCTTGACATGGAGCTCTCACCCTACCTTCTGCATTCAGCTCAAGCAGGACTTCTTGTTCAAAACAAGTATAATTTTGAAAAACAAGGATATGAAAGCCACAACTTATTTTTTAATTTGCAGAAGGAGTATGATTTTGTTGATGTGGAAAAAAATGGGGGGGGGGGGGAATTAATTATTTTTTCCAAACCTGCTTAGCATGCTCCACACTCAGCACAGCATGACTCAGAGCAGGGTGTGAGAGACAAGGTATCACCAGCTGGGCAGTGCTTTGCTCTGGGTCCCCTTCACACTGCCTTCAGCATGGCTGTTAAGGCATTTCCATCCCGCAGGTGCCCACAGGTGACAGCAGGAGAGGGGCCACACTCCCCCTTCCACCTGCAAGGGCTCTCACCAGCTGCAGCTCCATCTGCTCACAACCCAAGGAGCACTTTGACCATTTCCAGTCCAATCTGCAAAGTGCTGGAAATCTTGTCTGCAGCTTGGTTTGTAGCTGGTTCAGCCCTCCCACAAAAGATCAAGTTCTACTCAAAAGTTTTTTTGCTAAAGGCCACAGAAGAAGGAAAATCCCCTTCTTGGTCTCAAGGCCAATTCTGGTGTCTTTGCTCTGTAAAACCACATTTTTTCTGTCACATACTAATTTCCTGATCTACTGACAGCCAGGGTCACTTCAACTTCACAAGCGAGATTTCTCTAGAAGGAGCCAAACTATTTTGCAGTTCGGAAAACATCAAATGGCTCTGTTTGCCCCAGGCAATGAAATAATTATACAAGGAGGATAGTAATCAGCTGCCTGTGAGGAACAGACAGACATTACTCTTCACCTCTGGCAGAGTAGGAGTTGCTTAATGAGATGTGCATTAACTACCTGTGGATATTTAATGAGAACCTTTTAAGGACAAAGCCACAAACAGCTACAGAAGGACCGGCTGCTTCAAGAGCAGGGAGAGTCTTCTAATCCTGAGCCTCTCCCCCTCCTATGGAAGGGGCAATTGACTATGTAATCTTGTTTTTAATTCTTTCAGACTAAAGCAGCACAACATATTTGGAAGTACAGCTTTGTAGGCTTTCCCCACAGTTCAGAACAACAAGAAAAAAGATTTTCCTTTGGCTAGCACAACATTCAGTCAATCCTGAGCCTCTCCCCCTCCTATGGAAGGGGCAATTGACTATGTAATCTTGTTTTTAATTCTTTCAGACTAAGCAGCACAAAGTATTTGGAAGTAGAGCTTTGTGGGCTTTCCCTACAGTTCACAACAAGAATAAAGATTTTCCTTTGGCTATCACAACATTCAGTTTCCAGTGAACCAGGAATACAGCTCTTTAACACCTACAAGGAAGAGAAGTTTTATAAACAGAAAATAACCTGTATCAAATATGTTTTATTTGTATATGTGTGCAATCTCCTGTCTTCATATTGCAACTTTGTCTTCTTTTTTGTGGCCAGTTCTGGTATTTTTTTTTAGTTACTTTTCAGTAAGACTGTCCCTCCAGTCAGTTCACAGTGCAGTGGTTTGTACACCAAAAGTACAGAACATGCAGCTAGGAGTGGAACAAGGATGAAGTCATCCATTTTGTCAGCTGCTGACTCTTGGATTGGGCTAATGAAACAAGTGAACCATATCTTATCATTAGTTCCAGCTGAAATCAGAACTGGGGAATTAGTACAAGAACACCAAGTAAAAGACAATTCACAGCCATTTCCTGGAACTTTCCCTGTCAGACAAAAGTCCTGATATTATGAAATACATGCATCTGCATCCCAGTATCTACCACTCCACTAAAGTTTCTTAAAAGTTCTGAATTTTGCAAAAGGTTGTATTTTAGGCACCTGTAATTGCTCAAAGGTGAAATGAGCAATTTAAACACGGGAAAAAAAAAGTCTGACCACTTAAAATTCAGTGGGCAAGTCTTAAAACAGATTTATAAAACAAACAAGTATGTTTATTTTGAATCATTACTAAAATAGTTTACATAATATACAAACAAATATGCTATGAGGACAAATTTGAAAATAAGTCACAGTTTGTTTTGGTTTTTTTCTCTTTTTTGTTAATAAAAAGCATTTGTCCAGTGAAATGTTCAAAATGTAAATGCCATCTTTTCCTTCCTGAGCTATTAAACATCCAGAACAACAGCACTTCCATGTCTTCTTACTGGTTTTATTTCTGCCCATTAAAATAGGAAGCATTATCCACTGCTGGCTCTCAATAGTTAGAACAAATCCACCTCAGGTTTAAGTGACCACAGCTCTGTGTCTCCCAAACTCTGCTCTTTTGTATGCTTCAGGCCAAATCTCTCAGCTGCTACAAGAAAACATATTATTAATAAGAGAGCATCTTCACAAATTCCTTCATACTCAATAAAACCAAATGGACATGGACCAATAACTCAGAGCATGAAGTAACAGCAATGAAATGGTGAAATGGAAGTGCTGCTATTCTCTTTATTTTTTTACCCAAAGTATTTAACAATAGAAACAAGTATTTCTTGTGAGGAACTCCTGACATGAGAGACTAAAAAACATTTTAAAAGCATGCTCTGCAAATCTGTTCTTTGCCAGAAATTTATACAGCAAGCAGCCAGCTATACACAGATACATGAAGAAAAGTTATTTTTTTAGGATATCAAGTACCACAAATAAATAGATTCTCTCAATGCAAAAATAATGATCTTAGTAAAAGAGAAATAACCTATATCTTCCTAAAGTTTTGTTTGGAAAGGACATAGTATGTACACGGGGATGACATTTTATCATTTCCATCCAAATTTTATGACTTGCAAAACTTTGAAAAAGAGTAGAGAACTGCAAGCAGCCAGGCAAAGAGATACTGAGGAATTATTTAACTGACATTAGAAAGGACATAGTATGTACACGGGGATGACATTTTATCATTTCCATCCAAATTTTATGACTTGCAAAACTTTGAAAAAGAGTAGAGAACTCCTGCAAGCAGCCAGGCAAAGAGGTACTGAGGAATTATTTAACTGACATTACTACTGAATTTAAGCAACCTTTGCACCTCACCTTTTCTCTTCCTCCAGAACCGTGTGGGGCAGGCTCATTTAAGGAAGAAATGCTTGCTGAAAGGTTCTCTACAGGTCACAGATCTTTCAAGCAATTTTGCTACTTCTGCAAGTGGGCAGAGATAGCTGACACCTATGTTGTGATCCAGTGGATCAGGAAGAAGCTTGTGCTTAGACTCTAATCACTTTATCATCATTTTCAGTTTATTTCTTATGTTAGAAGTAAAGTAAGCAATTCTGGGAGATGAAGGTGACAGTTTTACATTGTTACCTTGTCAAATGTGATACCAGCTTTATGCACCACCAGAGCAGGATCCTCACAGCAAAGCCAACAGTGCTTCAACACAGGTTCAGAGGCAGATGAGTGACTCTGAACTGAGGCACAGCAATGCTCACCTCCAGGACACCAAGGCTGAATGCATCACTGAATACAATTTACCAACAACCAACAAGTTCCTTGCTTACACTCTGTAGTTTACTTAGAGAAGTCCCAGTTACTTTGGCAGAAACAACTCTGCCAGCTGGTGGAAAGGCTCTGCACAGAAAGGACTGGTTTGCTGCTGCCTCAGCTCAGCAGCCACACTAAGTTCTTCCCTGTTCTGCCTTGCAACACACATTTTGTGTCTTCCTCCTTTCCCAAGTGCTCTCCAGCAACTTCTATGTGCACCCCTCTAGAGGGAGGCCTTTTTCAGGCCAAACAGGCAACACAAGGTGAGATATCCGGCTCCACAGTCCACTCAGCTTATCTGTGTCCATGCCATTGTAAGAACTAGGAACATCTGAACTGGTGAACTTTGCCCAGAGGAAATCCCGGACTTTCTCCTCCACTTCTTGAAAGGTGAGGCTCTTTCTCAGCGACTGCTCATCCAGGAGAACCGTCAGCACAAGGGCCACGTCCTTAAACGCTGCGTTTTCATGGTCACAGTACTTGTAAAAGATTAAGGTGGAGCCTGCAGGCAGTGACTCAAACCGATGCACCACTGCCACCTTCTTGCCTTCACTGAAGCCAGAGCTGAGCTCTGTGTCCACCTCCAGCTTGACAATGTCACTGTCCAGCACAGCCTTGTCCACCCCTTCGATGCTGATCGTGGTGGCGTTCTGGGAGGAGGCGAAAGCATTGGCAATCTCATTGCTCAGGCACCTCAGGGCCTTCTCAGCTTCCTGGCCAGCTGTGAGCAGCAGGATAGCAGGCTCCAGATGCACATGGGAAGAGTTAAGACGTTTCTCAAGGGACACACGGGCTTTTCTCCACAGCCTGGGGTCCTGGCTCTGGTAAGTATTTTTTAGTTTCTCCATCCGGGCCCGAAACTCTTGCAGAATTTCAGCATCTCTCCTTGAGGAGGTTCCACCTTGAATTCCACTCCACAGGACATAAAGCAGTGGGACACAAATTAACAGAACCAGTAACAAAGTCCACATCTTGTGAAATCCATTCTGTGGTTCACTGTCATCTATAGAGAGATGGAGCAAACAAGAAGAAAACAATGTTTTAAAAGGCATCAGAAGTCAACAAGTGAAAGGAAAATAAGAGCAAACAGTGAACTCATCCCATTCTCAATACTGGTACAGCTGTTGAAAAGCACAGAAAAGATTATCTAGTTAAAAAAAAAACCAAACCACAAAACAGAGAACACAGTTTTGAACTCAAGCCACTTTGTGAAGTGACCACATTAAAAAAAAGGAAATTTTTTACATGTTCCCTCATGGCCTGAGACCAAATTAGACCGTCTTCTGAAAAAGGAGCTCTTAAAAGTTCATCATATTCCATTCAATTTAATAAAATCCAAACGAAGAGCTTAAAACGGTTCTGAAAAAGGTCAAAGCTTCTCCTACATATAAGGCCTGCAGAAAGGATCCTACAGAAAACCTGGCTGCACCAGAATGGTTTCTGTGTTATTTCTCTTTCCTATTCCCTTAGGATAAAAATAGTTCCTGCAGCAATTGTTGCATCTCAAACACTGTTGGTCAACACTATCACAGAACATTGTGGCCTTTGGATCAGTGAGCTTCACAAAGTACACACAGCAAACAGTGTACATCAAACATCAGATATTTTGATATGAACAGTTAAATTAACACTTGTTTCATGCACTGCAAGCAAAAGGATTCTGTTCCCAGTAAAATGAGTGACAAAATACACCCATCTTCCAGGAAACAGGAAGAACTGCATTCCTTTTGTTACCCTTTTACACCCTAACTTTTATCAGGACAGCAACACAACAATGGTTAAATAACACCACCACCAGCCCTGCCTCAGTTTTAATCTTGTAAACATTACAGATAAAAGACCTCACATTCAGGTGAAAATGTTATCCATTGTACAACACCCTCTCTTCACACATCCCAGCAAGCAATCCCAGCAAGCTAATCACCTGTTCTAGCAAGGACCCTCAGCTTAACACCAACTCCCAGAAACTGAAATACTTGGAAAGGCATAAAAATGGTTAAATGTTACACAAGCATGAAACAGAAGTGAAAGCAGAAGTCTCACTTTTGGCTGAAGGCTGTGACTGCTTCTCTGTACTGGACTGATACCGAGATTTACTTCTGCCTGTTAAGAGATTAAGAAAGGAACATGAGAAGAACACTAAGACAACAATTAGAACCAATCTTCCAGCAGGGAGCTGAAATCACCAAACTGCATTATTTTCAACAAAAAGCTGTTCTTAGTTATGCTTTTACATGCAAAATTCCACAAGGCTTACAGGAAGAGTAACAAAGCACCCTGCTGAACCAAACCCAGTCCTGCTAAGTCGCAGCAAAGGTGAGGCTGTCACCTCATCCCAGGTGAGGCAGGGTCAAGTTGAGGGTTTTCAGTTCCTTTCCACATCATTCTCCCCCTTGTGCTCAACAGAATCCAAGGAAAATGATACCTTCAGCACTACTACCAGCCTGAGAAGTCTCACTCAGCTGTCAGAGCAAATCTCAGTCTCTGCTCTTTGCCAAATGCCAGTTCCCAAGCCATCCTCACAACCTTGCCTAGAAAGCACAAGCCCCCAGTCTACCACAAATCACCCCCAAAGATTTTCAGCTCTTGAAGAATTATGCAAATAAAACTCGATTTCAAGCACAAGGTGATAAAATGGAAGAGACTTAACAACCTGTTATTTTCTGCACAAGGATCCCATGTCCCAATTAAGTTTCCTGATTTTGCTCAAGAATTTGAGAGGCGTAAAAATGGAAACTTAATTAATGGACACACTAGATAAACAACATAATGCAAGACCTAAACAGAAAAAACAAAGCAATATGTTACATGCACAGTCTTCTTTTCCTTCTCCATGTGGCTTGGGTTGGAGGCCTGCTTCATCAGCAGTCAGTTTCTTGAGATGAATTATGCTTTTAAAGCAAAAAGTGCAAGCTTTCAACTTCAAAATATACTTTTGGTCTATTTAAATGGCCTCAGACAGCAAAGTACAAGAGGCATTATCCATAAAGTGTTATGAACAACTTTCCCAAGAGACCAGCATGAATATATACTGTGCAATTTTTGGTCAGCGTGTTTTCTACATTTAGCCAGTTAATTAAAAAGACAGGAGAATTTATGTCTCCTTGTTGAACAGCAACTGGTTCAAAGCTGAAGGCTCTTTAATATATAACCAAATCAGGACACTGTCAATGGCACTATTGAGAATAAATTGAACAAACATACCCTGCAGTAGTTATTTAAAGACGCTGAAATAAACTCCATAACCTTGTTTCTGTATGAATGCCAATTGCAGAAGGTGCTAAAAGCAGCTCTGGTTTAAGCTGGGGCTTAACTGGCTTAATGAACTGCCCTATTCTGTAATTTCAACCCCCTACCCCAAAAGGGCACAGCCATGGAGCTTGTCACTGGCTAAGCTTATCTCAATCTTCTAAGAGTTAACAGCTCAAAATCACCTCAATTCTGTAAAACGTCACAATGCAGCTCTGTTTGCTCAGAGCAGGTTCCATATCTGGGTGACAGCTGTAACTCATACACTAAAGGAAAAAATAATTCAATAAACAGTCTAAAACAAGATCTTACTCTAAGAATTGTGCATTGTTTCCAACACAATTTGCACAAAAGCCCAGTAAATTTTGTCTTGCTTAATTCAGAAAGTCTAACTTCTGCAGCCAGCTTAAAGATTTCAGAGTTTTAAGTGATCTTCCAAAGTTCTTCACCCTACACACAAATAAGCACTCCTGCAGCACCTGGAGTGGCATAAAAAAGTGGAACTACCAGACAACATAGAACTCTCTGCATCAATTTATTTTTCAAAAGCATTTCACAGATGTGCAGCTACCACAGATGATGAACTTCTCTTCCTGATAGCACCATGGTTTAAAAAAACAAAACAAAAAAACAACCAGAACAACAAAACCAAAAAGAAACAGGTTCTTCAGAATGAAATCTGATTTACAAAACTTCATTTATCTATAGCTATACCTGTTGAGGATAGAAACAAGCACCAAGATTTTACTAAGAATTCAGAACATTTTTTTTGGTTTCTTTCAAGTACTCTTCCAACAGAAAAAAAAAAAAAAAAAAAGCAGCAAATCCAAGAAAGCCCCCAAAAGTCTGAAACACTGGGAGCTGGTCATTAGATGAGCAGAATGGATTTTGCCAGCAAAGAAAAATGCTGCTCCTTTTCAGGAGTGCAGGATAACTAATCCAATCACAGCAAGCCACCACTTCTCAGGGAAAGGATAAAAGGGAAAGTTTGTGTACAAACTAACATTCACTGCCACCAAAAGGTGAATGTTTTGTTCCCTTGCTCAGCTTACCCCACAATGTCTCTACTCCATGCTCTGCACTTACTGTCCCATGACTCAACTCCAAAAAGAAAAATAAAAGAGAAAGTGGAGCATTTGCTGTGGTCAGCAAGCTGAATAACCTCATAGAAAGGCTCTGACTGGAATATGCTGTCTTCTCCAGTTCCTGTTTGAATCTGCCTCCTGAGTGCATGCCCATCTTCCCAGACACTGTCCCAGGGCACAAGAAAAACCAGAAGCAGAGGAAAGGAAAATAACTCTGTCCTTTTCATCTAATGACAGGGAAAGACTAGGTTCCCTTGTTTTACTTACTCTGTGGTGCAGAAGTTGAGTAGCACTCTTGATTTTTCTCAAGGAAGTCAGCCTTTATTTCTGAAAGCAAAGCACCAGTGGAAGAACTCAGTTACCACATCAGAGGTCAGAATAGGACAGACCAGCCATACATGCTTCTAGCTCTTTCCATGAAATCCTCAAGGCTTTTTAGGGCAGGAGGATATGCTGTGCTGCCAAACCAAGCCTGCAGCATAGGCACAGCCTCCTGGACCCCCCCTGAGCTGGAGAAAGCTACTGTTATCTAATTTGGCCCTTCTCCCCAAGGCTTCTGCCAATATGACAAATCATTCTTCTTATGTCTCCTTTTAAAGAGACATGTAACTTTCTTCTGTGGCTAAAAATTACCCCATTTTTTTTTCACTGTATCTCCCCATTGCTTTTGCAATACGCATGGAGAAAAATCTCTGAGCAATGAGCCAAGTGCTCCCTCACCTTGAAATTATTTGTGTAGTCATTCCCCCTGCTAAAGTCAAAGATAACTCACCTCTTTAGAAAAAGAACACTTAGTTTTCTTTGCCTGGGGCAATCAAAGATCCACTGCCATAAGCTTTTTGAAGCAGATATGATATTACTCTTCTTTTTGTTTTGCTTTTCAAAAACCACACAGCTGGGCATTTATCAAAGTTGAAATCTGCCTCTTCTTGAACTTTAAGGTTTTTCACCCAAGTAGATTATCATCATATTATAACCAGTTTTACTTTGGCTCAGGCAGGAGTACACACTGATTTTTTTTAAAAGAAACCCTTTTTCATCCATTCAGATTTCCACTAAAAAACTCCCCCTTTTCTAAAAGAACTGAATTATTATCATTTTAATACATTTAAGCAATCATTTGTTACACCATGGAAGAAGTACTGATAAAAGCTGTTACCTTTTAATGGTGCAGAAACGTTTGGTTTCTCAGTTTTGTTACTGTCATGAGCCTTTGCATTTTCCTTCACTGGATTCTGTTCAAAGTAAACTGTAGTACCACCTGTCAGAAGCAAAAAAAGAATAACAAGAGGATTGGCAACATCCTAAATCTGAAGGACCAAGTTGTGGTTTTGGAACAGCCATGACCTAAATCAGTGATTTTCCAAGTTGTGAACTCCCAAAATTTACTCTCTTAAAATACAGCAAAAAGCAACTAAGACTTGAAATGCTTATGGTAAATTTGAGTTCACTACAAATACAGCTGTCTACACCACCACAGGCTTCTTTAAAAAAGATAAAATTTAAGGGAGTTCTTGGCTTAAAAACATGAATATTAGGAGCCAAGAAATTCCTTACACTAAGGGGATTCAGCGTAAAGACCAGGAGAGAGTTTTTCCCACAGCTTTGGGCACTCAACTTACAAACAATAATTGTGCTGTCTTTCTTATGCAGCAATGGGCAAAGGGGAAAAGAAACAGAAGCAAATACAGAAAATAAATTCCCTTGTAATGGAGTCCAAGCCATCCTTTAGTTAGCTCTCATTCTCTCCTAATCCATAACAGCATCCTAATTTCACCCCTCAGGTAGGTGGGAAGAATCTAAACCAACATCTTTCAGCTGTCTGCCAAATTACAGAGTCATTCAGCTGTGAAACCCAGCTTAGTTAATGCCCCTAACTAGAAAGAGTAAACCCTGTAGGATATCAGAGATCACAGAACAAAGGTCAGGGCTGAGAAACTAAATGCAGGAAAGGATAAAGTGCAATCCCAGAACCAAGAGGCTGACAAGAAAAAGCTCAGGTATAGAATAAAGAGCTGTTGGGGAACAGAGATGGTGGCACAGCTATCAAGCATCAGCAGAGCAAACAGCAAAGGGAAGAACACAACTGGTAACTATTTTCTAACATTCACTCTGGGCCCTTTTACTCTTTAAACAGCCCAGGTTCCTGCTGGGGTTCAGTGTGTTTCTGTAGCTCTTTCACCAAGGGCAAGGCACAGCTTGCCACCTAGTGTTTAGTCATGTTATTTCAGCTAAGAAAACAGCCTTTTTCTAACGTGTTCTGGCAGTTTCAGCACACCAGGGAATGTCAAACATACTAAGGAGAAAAACAAAACCACCAAACCCATCCAAACCACAGAAAATGGGAAAAAGATGTAAGTTTTGAACTGTGGTTAGTCACAGGTGAAACAGTTAAGTATTTGCACACGCTTAATGGGGCCCTATGTTTTAAACCCATCTTAAAAAGCTCTTAAGTGACTGATTTCCCACAAAGCTCCTCACCAAATTATTTTCAGGAATGCCAAACTACATATCCATAGTATTTCACTATGTACCCAGGTTTTACAAGGAAAATCTCCCTGGTAATTGTGACCAGAAGACCAAAAAAAATGTATTAATCTAAAGAGGGCTACTCAGGCAGTCCCTACTCTTAATTCCTCTTTCCTTCTTGGCATCAATCATTATTCTTTGTGTTACAGAGACTTCTTAGAAGTTGTAGAAAAGAAAGGACAATGTAAGACAATTTCCATGGAGACTGCTAACATGTATCTTCAGCTCACTGATCTAGAAGCTGCCCTGATTCAAGGCAGGGGGTTTTAGGCTCTTTAAACTCTGCAAGCTCTTCTTAAAGCTCTTAAAGCTTTCCAGCTCCCCAGGCAAGTTGCCTAACTGGTATTTAAAACCTCTCAGTAGAAGCCAGGAACCAGTTTCTCGAGGTGTGGTTTTGCTTCCATTCTGTTCTCAGGGAAGCAGGACAACTATGCTCCCCCAGCAACCCAGCCTGCTTATTCCCTGCCTCACAGACCATCCCCTAAACTCTGCAGGAAAAAGCAAAATACTGTACATCTACAAATGGGGGGAAACTAATCCTCTGCTTCTATATAAACAATTAAGAGTCTGTTATCATACTTTTACACCTGTTGTGCCTATAATCCAATACAGCTGTTAAGAGCTGGGGAGGGTGGGAGGGAGAGGAGCCTCATTTTCAGAGCCATCTAATTAAAAACCCAACCCTCAGCTGTACCTCTTGAAGCAGCACAGCCACGTTTAAAACACCGAGCCTATTATACCCTGTTGGCCACCATGTGGGAGCAAGAGCTTTTTTCATAGACAAACCTCTGTATTTGCCTAGAGAAATACTCATAACCTTCCTCAAGATAAGATTTTTTTTTTTCCATGCCTCCTGGAAATTCTGCTTCTGGAGCAGAATACAGGCAGACAGATCCTGGTGACAAAAACACAGATGGAAATGGAGAACAGTCTCAGGCTAGCTCAACACATCCCTGAGCAATGCCTCACTCCAAAACAGAGAAAAGAGGAAGGAAGTACAATTTATTCACAGTTTCCTGGTGGAATGACAGGCTAAAGCCGTGTGACTACGTTACAATGAGTTAGCATGTGTCTATAGCTTGGAGAAAGACACAGGTTTCATCTACAAAAGCAACAAGTGGGTGCCACACAGTGGCAGCTTGTCCAGGAGCAAGTCCCAGAGCATCCTTGGTGTTTCAAAGGAAGAAAAACCCCAGTTATGCACTTCCTGCAGCTCAGCATCCCTTATTTAAATCCTGCCTTTCAAAACCAAGCAGTGTCAGTAAAATTTGGACGCTGTGGTAAAGTACTGTTCCAAGTGATGCCCTAGGAAAAACCAGGGTTTCAGCGTGCTCTGTATCCACTGATCCTTTAAAGGATGGCTTCTCCTCCCATCCCTCGTGTATGTATCGGGATTTCCTCACCTATGTGCCACGGTACCACCTGCCAGGGAGCTCGAACCCAACAAACCACATTTCCCTGAGCGTGGGGCACTCCCGCCCCTCTGGGAGCCCCGGGAGCTGGAGCCTACCTGGCGATCGGTACGCCTTTATAGGGGGTCGCGTCAGGGAGTCTGGGGTGCCGAAGTGATGCTCGTCTCCTGAAACGAGAAACGGGTGAGGGGCACAGCCGGCAATTCAGCTCAAGCCCACGGGGCCCCGGCCTGAGAACATTCCAGGAGCAGCAGGCTCAGCGGGAGCCCGCGGTCCCGTCCCAACACGCCCGGAGGGGAACCACATGGCGCCCGCCCGGCTCACTTCGCGCCGCCCCAGCGCGCCCGCAACCACATGATCCACCGCGGGCCGCTACGCCCGCCCGCGCCGCTCACCCTGCAGGGCCGCGCTGTCCACCTCGTCCCCGGCCTCCTCCGGCGGCGCCGCCGCGAGCCGGGGGCTCTTCCGCCGCCGCTTCAGCCCGGAGCCGTCCGGCGGAGCCAGCTCGG